GAGCGGTTTTCAATGTCCCGATGTTCGATTGTGGGTACCTTTTATCTTTATTCAATTTCAATTATTGTCTTTATTTCCTCTCCACCGTCTTTATGTTATTATTATTAGCAGCTTCAGAAAATAAGGATGTGAGGGAAACCTCTATGGACCCAAAAAGTTTGGTTAATTACATTTTGCATCTTGCTGGAGTTTGGACTCCTGTAAAATTTACCCTTTTGTGTCAGTTTCACTGAGCCATCTTATGTTTGTTTTTAACCCAGTTGCTGGCTCTGGGTGGATCAACTTACATTTTCTGCTCCTTTTTGTTGCATCTTAATGGTTCTATTTTTTGACGCTTCTGATGTGCCTATCTTTTTGCTCCCCCCTCTCCGTGTAGTATTTCTTCTTTGCCTGAGTTGAGTTTTTGGCTGTTAGTGTGATCATCGTGCTAAAAAAGATGTGGACAAGAGGATATAAATCAAAAGTCCATTCATTTGCAAAGAGTTAAATGCTAGAGGGATACGATATTATGTTCATTGGATATCTATACATGTTTGCAAAGTGTCCCTCACAGCTTTGTGTACCTTTGGCCTTGTAGTTGTTGATTTGAGTGTTTTGAAGTTATTTAGAGATATATGAGATATGTTATCTAAAACAAATATAAGAGTAAAATTCTTTTTTTTTTTTCCTCTACATTAAGTTGGATTCTTAGCCCTTGCATTTCTTGTTCATATTTTGTGTGCTTGACTAGAAATGGTCTTCACTATTTCAGGACTAGATTGGTAGCTGTTGCCACTCAGAAGTTTGTTGCTGAAGTTGCAGGAGATGCACTTCAGTATGTTCATTTTACCTGTTTTTTTATTGAATCTTTACCTTCTTTCTTTTTTCTTTAATTTGATTTATTTTGAACCTTGAATCAGTGCATCACAGCTAGCTATTTATTTGCATAGTAAATTTGGGAATATTCTTCTGTTGACATTTATTTCTGGTTTTCCTGGAAAATATTGAACTTTTGCCAAAAGTTAGTTCATACACATGAGTGAAGTTGAGAATTTCTGATGGAAATTTGTTTCTTTAATGAGTGCATGTCTTGGGCATTATGTAGGAAATGCACACACATCAGTGCATTACTATTTCTTTTTTGGCCAAGTCATAAGTGAATTGCTATTAGTCATTTAGTTGCCCAGTCTTTCTTATGCATCCATGCTGGCATGATGAGTTGACTAGATGTTAACCGTAGGCATTGCAAAGCAAGACAAGCAACAATTCCAAAAGACAAAAGGGACAAGCAGCAGAAGGTTTTGACAGCTTTTAACTATTTTGTTTATACATTCATTGTGTGTTTGTACTTATATTTCATTATGTATAACAGGATAAGCGCCTAGTTTTGACAATGGAAGACTTATCAAAGGCATTGCGTGAGGTAAGAATAGTTCTCTATTTCGAATAAAGAAAAGTTTCCTCTCCTCGGTGAAAGGGGTCATTGCAATCCACTATTTTATCATAGTTTTTACCCCCACTATGTAATATCCGCTCCCCGTTCTGGCTATATATATATATATATTCACTTTCTTCCAGACCATTTTGTGACACCCCGCTCATTTTTTAAGCCTTTGCTTTGCTAGCATACCTAGCTATTGTATACAGTCAGTACCCCTGGTCTTTGGCTCTTAGCATCGAAATATCCACTCTCTTCAAGCATACTGCTCTCAGTTTTTCTTAATTTGTTGCTCTGTTGCAAGTTTAGAGAAGATGGTGATTGTGGCTATTATTCACTAGGCCCAGTGGGCAGAGGGCATTAACACAGTTATGATAATTGACACATCTTCTACGAGAAGAGAATTGGGATAAAATTGGAAGTATCACCTCCACTGTTTTGAACACCACCATTGCCTATGACATTTGTCACTAGTCACTACTTTCTTTCGCTATTTCGTTTGTACTGAAAAATGAAGACAACAACTCTGAACTGAAGTTGGATGCTTTCTGGATCAGTTTATGATTGGCTTGTGATTGGTTGGTTTAATTGGTTCATTGATTTTTTAAGTTTCCATGTTTCATGCCCTGTCTGACCAGCTGGTCTAGCCTTTTTTACTTTTTTTTTTTTCGGGGGGGAGGGGGAGGGGGGGGGGGGCACTGGAATTCTTTCTTCACAAAGGGATTGGGACAGTCAGTCTCACAGACACATGCTTTAGGAAGCATGGTCAGTTCCCAGATCTCATTCCCCTTTGGGCCAATACAAGCCTCAACCACTTGTGCCATCCCATGCAGGTGCAGGTGGTCTAGCCCTGTTTTCACAACATTGTTTTTAAGCTTCTTCTCGGGTCAATTTTATGGTATTAATTGAGCTAAAGATTAGAAGATATATATCATTCGTTTTTAATTAGTTGTGCTAATATGTTAATCTTTCTTTACATTTAATACACTTGTTATCTTTTATGTACAGTATGGCGTGAATTTAAGGCATCAAGAATATTTTGCTGATAGCCCTTCTACTGGAATGGATCCTGCTACTCGAGATGAATGAGTCTTTTCTTGTTCATCTTTGTGTTCAGGCTTCTAAATTCTCGTGTTTAGTAGGTATAGCTATATGCCAATGCAGAATTGAGTATATTCTACTTGATATGTTGCTAGTTCTCTATTTTATGTTTTTAAATAGTTGCCAAATATGTTTTGTAGGATTGACATAGTTTTGATAACAACCTCTTCTCCTCGAATCTGTCAACGCACTGCAATTGTTCGTCACTAACATTATTGGTGCTTGTAGTAATTGGTGAACATGGTCTGTGCAAGTACTCTATCAGCAATGAACTTACCTAATGTTTCTTTATTTTGTTCTACTTTTTTATTGCCCCGTATGTTTCACGTTTGTTCTTTGGTTCTAAATTTTCACTTAGTATGGCATATGAATATAATGCATTGCAGAAGTCAAAAAGGTTACTATGTTCATCCATTTTCAATTTTTTCAAAAAGCTTACTTCAAGAAAGCTTACTGTACATTGTGACTACTTTGCGATAAGTCTGCATATTTTTTAAGTTTTGTAGTTTCTCGAAATCAGTGCCAGTGAAACTGGGTATGAAAGAGAGATTAATTTTATTTTATTTTTAACTTGGTGTTAGATTTATAAACTTAAATATTTATAATTGAAAAATAATTTTCTTGTATTGGGTAGATAAAACATAATTTGTAATTTATTTTAAAACATTATAGTTAAACACACACACATATACAAATGATATAATTTTCATATTCAAAACTATTTTTTTTGTTATAAATTTCAGTTGTATAAAATAAGTTTTTTGGGTGTGCATGTGTAAATTAAATTTAGAATCGCATGGGAGTATTTTTAGAGACTACTTATTTAACGAGATCAATTTAAGAGTTTTTTCAACAAAAGAGTTTTTAAGAGTTTATACAGAAATAGCTTATTCAAAAATGACTCCCATAACCACAATTATTAAGTAATAACTCCAAAAAAAAAAAAAACTCTTAATATGGGAATTCATATTTATAATACAGGCTTAAATTCATTTTTATTCTAGAAATGTGTAATTTTGATCTCCAATTTTTTTTTTTTTTACAAATTTGATTCTGTGGTTTTCAAAATTAAAAAATATGTATCATTCAAATTTTTTTAAAAAAATAATATTGACATATATGTGAATAAATTATCTAGAAATTACTGAACCATGTTGACTTTTACTTAAAGAACAATATTGTTTTATACTACATAATATTACTTAATTTTGATCTCTATGGAACTAAATTTACAATAAAAAAATTGTAGAATATGAAATTGTAATTTTGCAAAATTATATGGTCAAAAAAGTGAATTTAAGTTTATAATATAAAATATTATTATTTGTTGGTTTATTATTTTTTTCTTTCACATTTCATTGAAATAAATCCTCTATATATATATTAGATTAATTATTATTTTTTTGTAAAAGTTTCATTCTCCTCACTATCTCTTTTTCGTTCTAATTTAAATATTTTTATTTTAAGATGATTGAATTTATTTTAACTTAGCCACACAACATTTAAAATATACTAAAAAGAATATTGAGAAACTTTAAGAGAATGGTTCACTCTTCCAATTCTGAATTTCATTCTATAAAATAAAAGTACATAATTGTAAATATATAAATAAATATAATAAAAAAATATTTTAAGATGATTGAATTTATTTTAACTTTGTCACATAGCATGTAAAATACATTAAATAAAAGTATTTTGAGAAACTTGAGGAGAACGATTCACTTGAGTAAAAAAAATAAAAGAAAAGAAAATGGCTCACTCTTCCTGTATTCCATTTTATAAAATAAAAGCTGTAAATATATAAATAAATATAATGAAAAATATATTAAGATGATTGAATTTATAATAACCAAATCACACAGGATGTAAAATATACTTAAATTTTTTTTTGAGAAACTTTAAGAAAATACTCTCTCTTCCAATTTAGAATTCTATTTTATAAAATAAAAATGCATAATTGTAAATCTATAACATTAATAAAGGATAGATTAAATTGCATTTTTTTATAATATTAATTTTGTAATTTTCATTCTTCTATTTTTAATTTTGTAATTTTAATTTTTTAATTATATAAAATTCATAATTTTGGTTCAATGTTTATCTATTGATCTACAAAATTGTAAGGTTAATCATAATATAACATTAAAAAGATGACATAAAAATCATGATTTAATAATGTATAGGTTAAGTTTCATTTTTAATTCTCATTTTTATCTTACAAAAATAATAAAAATAATAAAATAAAGTAAAAACAAATAAAAATGAGAGCTAAAGCGCAATTTGTAACGTAGCAAGTTGTTTTAGAAAGCTCAATATAGGTGATTTAGTAGCCTAGAACGAGTTGTTCCCAATCTGGAACGAGCCATTCCAAGCTATTTAATTGACCTGTAAATCGTAGTTGAGAACGGACCGTTCTGGTCAGAGAACGGGCCGTTCTGGAGGCGAGTACGGGCCGTTTTGGATGGAGAACGGGTCGTTCTGGATGAGTTCCAGAACGGGCCGTTCTGATTCTAGAACGGGTCGTTCTGCATGTGGTTTTTGCACATGACGAAGGGATACAGAACGGGTCGTTCCGGGTTCGGTACAAACTGTTCTGGCCACTCCAAAATGTCTATAAATAGGGGTTCTGGGCCGTGAGGAGAATGTGAGTTTTTAGAGAGAAGTTTTAGAGAGAAGGTCTCTGGGTCTATGAACTCCTTTCTCTCATAAATTTCTCTGTATGATTCCTTTTCTCCTCTAGACCACTAATGGCTTCTGTCTTTTCTTGAAATTCAGATTAGAAAACTTGTTTTGGGAGGATTGAAGTTCCGGTTGAGCTTTGGAAGGAAATTCTATTTCGTCATAGTTGTTGGCTATTTTGAGCCAATCTTCAGGTAAGGGAAGCTAGAATGTTTTTTGTTTAGGTTGCATGTGAGTTTAGAAACTCAATTGATGCATGAATGTTGAGAATCCATAAATAGATTGAAGAAAATCTCATTTTTTTGGGGTTTTGAGAAAAAAGAAGATTTTTGATGATTTTGATGCATAGGTTGGATGCATGTGAGATTTAAGTTTATTTTGAGTTGTATGGAGCCTATGCATTGTGTTTTGTGTTTGCATGTGGCTGGATGTGTTGGTTTGGATGAGAGTTTTGAAATTCTTTGACTGGGATTAGGCCGGGCGTGAAAGAACTTAGAGCTCTTGGGTTGGTGTTAGGCTAGGCGCGAGCTGACTGCGTCGAGCGTGATTATATTTATAAATAATTGATTTAAATTGATGCTTATGCATGTTTAAAGTCGAAGTTTTAGATCATGTATGTATGATATATGATGCATGGTGAGGTATGATTCATATGTATGCTTGTGATGATACGTATGAATGGTTGAATATGATATGACATGTGTATATGTTCATATGGGTATGTTTGTTGATCATGATGGTGGGCAAACCATGTATGATGTATGATGCATGATGCATGATTGCATGTGATGCCTTATGGCATGAGTCTAGCCTAGGACTTGAGGAGAGGAAAAATATTTTCGAACTGGAAGAGCTCACATAGAGTCTCTTGAGAGTGGTGCTTGGATAGGCCACTGATATATGAGAGTGGTGCTCTGGGAGGCCACTGGATTTGGGAGAGTGGTGCTCAGATAGGCCACTGGGTTGGGTGAGTCTCCTCTAAGTCCTTAGCTAGTGTTGGAGCGGGGTATGAGGTCGAGGGTTATTCCCTTAACCAAGTACTCGGGAAGGTGCGTGGATCCTTGCGGATAGTCGGTGGGCGAACTCCACAATTGACTTGGTTATGCATGCCAAGGTCGTGGTAAGCCCGTACCCAGCTGTGCTATACCTGACGGTGGATCTAGACTTCCAAGTGTGTAAGTGACATCATCCGAGTAAACCCGAGTGAGGATTATATCCTGTTTAGCTGTGACTGAGCGGGCGCATTGGGCGTGAAAACGGTTGGAGTGGTTTTGGTAGGATAGAATGTCACTTATACAGCTTTATTGTTATAGAGATCTCCTAGGTCTATGCGTGACGACGCATTAGATGATTGATATGCATCGATATCTGTCATGAGATGCATTTATTGCATGATTATTAATATGATGAAGTGTGGTGTTTGACTTCATGATTGGTGGATTGTATTTATGCATGAGTAGTGTTGGATAGAGTGTATAGTATGACTCTATGAACATGATTGATAGTTGAATGATGTATAGTATAAATTTTATTCTGTACTTGTATGATTGGTTTTGAACTCTAGCTTACCCTTCTGTTTTCATGTGGTGGGACTGCGATGATCATATTTGGTACGAGAGCATGTCAGGGCTAGCTTGGAGTTAAGGTGTTCGCTGCGAGACGGGAAGTTTTGATCCTCGTATTAGAGTTACCATTTTGGGTAATGATTTTGACTGTGCTTGACCAGTATTAGGAAATATTATTTTTGGGATGACTGTACATATATGGAGTTCTATTCTATAATCAGAAACTTAGTTAGTTTCATTTTTATTTGTACATGTATGTATGAGTTATCCAGCTTAATATTTCTTTTAGTTTCACTAGCAGTAGTGCGATTCCACTAAGTGTAGAGACCAAGGCGGGTCATTACACAATTTAGTCTAAACATTATTATAAAATAGTAATAACTATGTTATCAGTTTAATGTCACATTATTATTAATGCTACAATGTTAACAAATTAATAAATGAACATTTAATTAGAAAACAAAAATTAAGAATTTTATAAAATTGAGAGATTAAATTATAAATTTAAAAATAGTAAGGTTAACATTAAGAGTTTAATATTATAAAAAGACTAAAAATACGATTTAATATAAAAATATTATTTAAAATAAAAAATACTATTCACATATTTTTTTTGAAAATTTTTACTCTTTAACCATTTTATTCAACTATCTCACTATTTTACGAGACACACTTCTTTTATTTCATTTTTTTTCCATTTTCATTTTTATAGCGAGACACAATGTCTCTTTTTCACAAATATATAAATAAATAAAATATAAAAAAATTGAATATGATTGAATTTATTTAACTTAGCCACATAGCTTGTAAAATACACTAAAAACAATATTGGGAAGTATACGAGAATGACTCACTATTCCATTTTATCAAATAAAACTACACAGTTATAAATTAATTAAAAAAGTTCAAACTAATTGAATATAAATGAAAATAAATTAGATTAGATTTAATTTGTTAAATAGCAAAATGTTAATAATTGAAACAAATGATGAACCAATGTAATTCCCACACTTTAAATACATTTTTATGATCTATATTCAATGTCTAGACAGAAAAAAAGTGTCAATTTTTTAAATGATGTCAAATTTAGACGGAAAAAGCTATTGTGGGATAAATAATTAAATGCCTGTGATGGCGCAATCTTAGGTAGTTTTTTTTAATATATATAATTTTTTTATATAGGAATTATAATCCTATGTTGAGACATACATTTACTGATTTAATATTTAATATTTCTGTATATTTTTTTTATAATTATAAATCATTTATGTGAATGTATGCTACATATCAATAATCTTTCAGACATTTAAAAAAGAGAGGAGCGATCCTTTTATTTCAGGAGTAACTTTACCTAAATTTATTCTATTCAATAATTTATGTTCTACATCAAATTTCAATGATTCAATCGTTCAATTTAAAGTTTTTAATGCATAGATCAAATCTGTAAAATTTTAAAAAATTTGAAAATTATTTGATATTTTATTTCATTAATTCGAATCAATATATAAAATAATTTTATGATTATCTATCAATTTGAATTAATAAAATGAAGTATCAAATAATTTTTAAATTTTAAAAAAATTTATAAATTTAATCTATGCATTAAGAACTTTAAGTTGAACGGTTGAATCATTAAAATTTAATGTACAACATGAATTATTGAACGAAATAAATCTAGGTAGATTAATTCCTGAAATAAAAGAATCCATCTTCTTTGAAAAAAAACATTAAAAGGTTTTGAAGACGTGAAGCACACACAAGATATATAAGTAAAATTGTTTTTCATCTTACTTTTCTGTCTTGGACTTTTTTTCTTCTATTTATTTTTCATGTGTTTTTCTTTTTGATCTCAAGTTGCCATCATTCACTTTCCTCTTCCAGAAGCCTAATGTTAGTGTTTTATTTACCATTTATGTAGATTTTTTTATGATTAATAAGTGATTTATGTGAATGTATGGTACATACTATGAATCTTGGTGAGCTTTGAATAAAACATGAAAACGTTTTGAGCAAGTGGGGCCCGCACTGCATATATGTAAAATAGTTTTTGATGTTCCTTTTGTGCTTGGACTATTTATTTTCATGTTTTTTGTTTTATCTTTTTCATCTTAATTTGCCATCATTCACTTTCCTCTTCCAGAACCCTAACCCTAATCCCTCTCGCTGGTTTCCTTTGCTTTCTCTACTTTCCATTGATGAATTGTGAGTCGCAGCTTTTGTGAGCCATATAATGATCTTCGGGCTGCGACTTGTTTGCATGGGTTTGGAGAATGCCGGAGCTTCGTAGTGGACCGCGAAGACGTCGTGCTCCGGTAGGTCGCAGAAGCTCAGAAACGCCGTCTCCGACAACGAAATACGTGAAAACTCGCGCTGCAGTCGCAAGAGAGGCGGCGGCGACAGCAGAGAGGCCAAGAACTCGTTTGGCGGCCAAGAAAGAGGAAGAGAAGCCTTTGATAGTAATATCTGATCACTCTAAGAAGATTGTTGAAGAAAACATGGGCGATAGCGGCGGTTTGAGCGGGAATAAAGTTGTACCACAGGAGGAAGAAGCCAACGCAACTCCTTTTCCAGAAAGGGTATTCTGTTCCCCTCTTTTAATTACTCAATTCTTTCATTGATTATTATTCAGTGATGTTAATATATAATAACATGTCTTTTCATTCTGAAGGTTCAAGTAGGCGGATCACCTATTTATAAGGTGGACCGAAAACTTGGGAAGGGAGGTTTTGGGCAAGTTTTCGTTGGCCGGAGAGTAACAGGGGGCAATGACAGGACCTCTGGCTCTGGTGCCACTGAGGTAAGCTTATTCTCTTACCTCATTGTTATGTGCTGTTGAAGAATTTTGTATGTCTTTAAGTTCATTGAATGATTGTTATCTTTCGAGTTTTTCCAGGTGGCATTAAAATTTGAGCATAGAAACAGCAAAGGTTGTAACTATGGCCCTCCTTATGAATGGCAAGTGTACAAGTAAGTGCTTTACTTCTTTATAAGAGATATATATTGTCAATTGCTTTCATGTATGTACAAGATTTGTGTTGAAGGAAATTTTCCTGAAGTTTGCTTTTTGATGTCATGTGAATTTGTGAAAAGTACACTTGGTGGAAGTCATGGAATCCCTAAAGTGCATTTCAAAGGGAGACAGGGAGAATACTATGTGATGGTATGACTTGCACAACAACCATCAGCTTTTTCCACTTCCAGTTTAATTATTTAACCACTTATTCTTCTTTGGGCTTTGGGGGTGTATATGCAGGTTATGGACATGCTAGGTCCAAGTCTGTGGGATGTGTGGAATTCTTCAAGCCAGGCGTGAGTATAAGCTAACCTTTATTGTTGTATATGCTGTGTTGTTTATAGGTCTTGTGTTTTAAAATAAGAGTTATTATAATTGATTTTGTGTGTCTTTAAACTTTCTTTGTGAAGGTTTATATTGAAGTTGTGTGATTCAATTTTTAGTTCCATTTTGTTCCACATGCATACCTAACTAAATATACTAAAAGATTGAGGACAAAGAATTTGGAGTTGCAATAGTTGTAGATGGTCTGTTGTAAAAATTCTTTCTGGTGTCATCCTTTGGTTTTCTTTTGTCCAAGAATTTGGTTTTGGCTTGAGCTAATTTTGATTCCTTTTTCATGTAAATGACTATTTCAGTGAGTACTTATTAAAATTTTTTAACCCATCTTATGCATTAATGATGTATAGGCTGTATATTTTATCCTTTGATGTTGTATTGTATGCCTTCTACTGCAATACTTCTGTCTTTCACTTTTTTTGTTTTGCTGAAATTCTGTTATTGATTATCTTTTGAATGTGTAGGATGTCTGCTGAAATGGTTGCATGTATTGCTGTTGAGTCCTTGTCGATCTTGGAGAAGATGCACTCCAGAGGGTATGTAATTGGGAAAACATATTTTCTTAATTTCTTTTACACTCAACTTTTCCCTTTTTGATTTGTTTGCTACAATCTGAGCCGGTTTTATTGGTTATTTGAATTTATTGGTTTCTAAACATGATATTCTGGTTCCTATTGTTCATTATAGTTATGTGCATGGAGATGTAAAACCAGAGAACTTCTTACTAGGTCAACCGGCTACACCACAAGAAAAGAAATTGTTTCTTGTAGACCTTGGATTAGGTTGGTAGTTTTAATTTAAGGGCGATACATTTCATTCATATATACATTCCCCTTTTTGACCTTTCTTATATAAGCATGTGTTTTGCAGCAACAAAGTGGAGAGACACCTCTAGTGGGCAACATGTTGAATATGATCAACGTCCTGACATGTTTAGGTTACCTTTTTCCTTCATTTCAATTTTTTTATTTCTCTAAAATTTAGAAGTTGCTAATACTTTTTTTTGGACTCCTTTTCTATTATTATGGTTTTTTTTTTGTTTCGTGTTCATAATTATCAATATGCTAACTCTGCTTATATATATATATATATATATATTTTTTTTTTTGTAGAGGGACTGTTAGATATGCTAGTGTTCATGCTCATTTGGGAAGAACTGCTAGTAGAAGGGATGATCTTGAATCTCTTGCATATACACTCATCTTCCTTCATAAAGGACGGTTACCTTGGCAAGGTTATCAGGTATATACATTTATTTAATGTTCTCATTGACTACTTCCATTATGAAATAAGTGTCAATTTAGCAATATTTTTGTTCCAATTTATATTGCAAAATGGAGAGCGCTGATTAAGTTTCCTTACATATGTTAATTTGATTTTACCTTCTTTTTAGGGTGATAATAAATCCTTCCTTGTTTACAAAAAGAAGATGGGAACATCTCCTGAGATGCTATGCTGTTTCTGCCTTGCTCCTTTTAGACAGTTCCTTGAGATTGTAGTGAACATGAAATTTGATGAAGAACCTAACTATTCCAAGCTTATATCTTTATTTGATGGTATGCTTAGGCCCAATCCTGCATTGAGGCCTATTAATACTGAAGGTGCTCAAAAGGTAATATTATCATGTGATTTTGGATTATAACTTTTTTCTGAATGATATATATAGAAATTGTACAGAAACAGTCAGGAATTTTTTCCCATTTACAAATAGGATTTCCTCTTACTCCCTTAGCTGCATGCTCTATTTTAGGAAACTTAATCTTGTACTATTAGATTTGATTTGATATGATGTGTTAAAATGTGATACAAAATATAAATTTTCACTAATGCTGGGCCATAATCTTAATAAAATTGAGGAAAATGACTCTTGAAATATTATTTAATATGAAAATCAATCATGGTAATATAATAGAACATGGGAACTAATACTAAGATCATCTAAGATACTCTAAATATACTGATATACTATTTTGGATGTTTTCATGTATTGTGGCACCCACCCTCATGCTAAGTCTTATTATTAAGCTTTAAATTTGTTGCACATATATATATATATAATAAATAATGGGGCATATATCAGAACTGCTTTAAAACTGATAGTAGGGCATATGGCAACCTTGATTATTTTTATTATTATGTTTTTGGTCTTTGTGTTCATGTTGGTACCTTGTTCCCTCAAACAAAATTTACCAGGTTGGTCAGAAGAGGGGTAGATTGAATATTGAGGAAGAGGATGATTCACAGCCCAAAAAGAAGGTTCGTTTGGGGGTTCCTGCTACACAATGGATTTCAGTTTACAATGCAAGGATGCCAATGAAGCAAAGGTATTACTCTTTGAGCAATTGGATATGAGGTTTTTTATGCACTTTACATTGTATTAATATTAGAGCCTTTTTCAAATCAAAGAAAGGTTTGCTTTAGTCTTACATTGGTCCAACCTTTAATTTGAATTCACTTGTTTAATATCACAGTTTAGCATATATGTATCATCTAAATGATTCAGACCTTGTTCATTAAAAGTGTATCTTGGAGCCATTTGTGAACCGGAAGTATTTTTTTGTTAAACCAAACTTGAGTCCTTTGAGTGGTTGAATTCAGCTTGTCCTTGCATAACTTGAACTATACTGTTTTAATGATAATTATGTTGTAGAAAAAGTTTAATTAATAGGTGCTGAAATATTTATAACTATGTTATAAACTTACAGTATATGTTAAAAATTAAGTAAATTTAACGCTTTAATTAAGCAATAATAGTGGACCAAATGCCGACTTTACAAATAATGCAGTTCTTGATTTACATAAATAAAGTTACAGCTTTACCTTGAAGGCAAAAGCGCCCTCTGCTTGAGTATTTTGTTATGAATATGTTTTTATGACTTTTTGAATTGGTTGTATATTAGGTATCATTACAATGTAGCAGATGCAAGATTAGCACAACACGTAGAAAGAGGGATTGCAGATGGCCTTCTTATTAGTTGTGTGGCATCTTGTTCCAATCTCTGGGCACTTATTATGGATGCTGGAACTGGTTTTTCTAGTCAAGTTTATAAGTTGTCTACAATTTTTTTACACAAGGTAAAATTATATGATATGATATGATATAAATCAGTATGTATTATATAATTTGTTATCTGTTTAAATATAATAAATCTTACCTATGTATTATGTTCCTTATCAGGAATGGATCATGGAGCAATGGGAAAAGAACTATTACATCACTTCTATTGCAGGGTCTACTAATGGGGGCTCTCTTGTGGTGATGTCAAAAGGTCTCTTTAGTTACTTTTATAAACGAAGACAATTTTTTTTCTTTGTCAATACCATGGGATGATGGGAAAATTTTTCCAGATTAACATCTACGGAATTACCCCAATTTTTTTCCTCCTTTTTTGAAAATGAACGTTTTGTTATTTTTTTTTTTCTGGAGATTTTACTTTTTTTAAAGTCATTTGGTCGTGTTTTCTCTTCATAGGTCCCATTCCCCTAAAAATGACTTGCATTTTTGTGGGGTAATCCACCTCCTGTAAACCAATTCAATTGGTTGTTTTTCAGTTATTTATTTATTTTTATGAGTATGAGAGGTAGACAGATCTCTAGATACAATCATTCTTCTGTTGCTAACCTTGATATTTGGTGACTTGTGGTCTAATTTATGCAGGCACACAATATACCCAGCAATCATATAAAGTAAGTGATTCATTTCCCTTCAAATGGATAAACAAGAAGTGGAGGGAAGGTTTTCATGTGCCCTCAATGGCCACTGCCGGAAGCCGTTGGGGCGTGGTTATGTCTCGAAATGCTGGATTCAGTGATCAGGTTTGCTGTTTATATTGTACTATTTATTTGTTCTTATTTTTTTAATGTTTTTATTCAATTGAGTATGTCTACTACTACATAGTCTGTTGTTGATTTCAAAGTGATATTTTAAAAATGTGTACCTTGAGAGCATGTCTAATACTACATGACCTGTCCATGGTTTCAAAGTGATATTCTGAAGCCTGTTGGACAAGTGAAAGCATTAGGGTTATCCTTAACTATTTTGGTTTTTGTCAATTTTCTTTTTTATTAGATTCAATTGAAGATAGCTTTATACATTGATGTTCCATGGTTCAATTAGTTTATTTATACTATGTTAATAAATACTTTCTGCCACTGGACATAATCCTTGCTTTCTCATAATCTCCTTTTTAAATGTAGGTTGTTGAACTTGATTTTCTCTATCCCAGCGAGGGAATCCACAGAAGATGGGATAATGGTTATAGGATCACAGCAACTGCTGCTACATGGGATCAATCTGCTCTTATATTAAGCATTCCTAGGCGCAGGCCTGGAGATGAAACTCAGGAGACATTGCGGACATCTCAATTTCCAAGCACACATGTTAAGGTAAGGGTTGATGAATGAAGTAGTTGATTTTGAGGTTAAATGACAGAGACTGATTGTCATTTTGGTTCTATTTATGTGCAGGAAAAATGGTCAAAAAATCTCTATCTTGCTTGTTTGTGCTATGGACGCACAGTTTGCTGAATTCCTTCTCAAGTCCGAAGGATTTGTTTGACTGTAGAATTATGTATTCTTCAATGCTCCCAATCATGTATAATGTTGAGAATTGTAACTCTGTTATAGTATTACTCTCCCCGCCCATTCTGTTGCAAGTTCGTTGTGGTGGAGATCTGACAGTTAAGTTAATGTATACAACTTAGCTATATGTTACTCTATTATGTATGTAGCTTCAATAATTTTTTTTTTTTGAATTTTCAAGATTGTTTCCGCATTTAGTCGAATAAAATCTATGTATGAATAGCTTTCCTTGTAAATAAGAGTCAAATAATATGAATTTCTGTCCTGCATGAAGGGCATTTGAAATCTCAATTACAGTTTGTGAATAAGGATTTATTTACGCCGAATTTAAAATATTTTGTTTGAATATGATTTTTTTTAAAAAAATGAATATGAAATTTAAAATTAATTTTCCCTTTTTATTTGTTTCTCTTCTTTTATTCTCCTAATCATTTTTCTATCTTATTTGCTCCTATTTTTCTCTTTGTATGTCCTTTCTCTCTTTCCCCTTTATTCTCTCTCATCTTTTCTCTAATCTCTTTATTTTTTTTTCTCTACTATTTTCTAATTAAGGAATTCAGCGTAATATATTTTTGTATGTTGGTACTCCATCCTTGAATTGGGTACAGGGAGCTGTTAAGTTTTTGAATAAATTGTTTATAATGAATTTGTTTTCTGTAAAATTGATATTAAGATGAAGTGATTTATATAAAAAAGTTATTTTAAAAGCGAAGTAGTAAATTGAGTATCTAAAGTTATTTAAAATTTATTAAACTTAATTTTAGATTCAGAATTCAAAAGGCTGGATTTTCAAGTTAAAGTTTTGGAATGTGTTTGGGCAAGTATTTTTAAAATTGATTTTATAAAATTAAGTTGATTAAAATCGATTTTACTGTGAAAAGATTAGTTTCAATATTTTTTCCCAAAAGTAGTGAAGAAAATTGAACTTAAAATATAAAATATTTATCTGACATGAGTTATTTAAAATGATTTTAAACTCAATATATTGTAGATTTATTATTAATTTTAAAAATTAAATGTCAATGTTTACGTAATATTTTGTTTGTTGATATTTTAATGTGATTTTGAATGATTTAGCTTAGATTATAAATGTTCAGTTCAACTTGATTCTAAAATTTGGAACACTAGTAAGATGGTGGAACTAAGTTGTAGGCATGACAATGTCTCAAGCAAAATGTGAACTCAAACAGTCTTTTTCAAGTTGGTATTCGAAACTCTCTAGGTTTATTTATTTATTATTATTTTTTTTTTATACTTTCTGTTTTTTTTTTTTTTTTTTTTTTTGTGTATTAGTGTAGTGTGATGGGGAAGATGTTCCTAGTATATAGTATGAATGTGTGGTATTATATTATAACGACATAATTGGTGCGTGGGGTTGCAGGTTTATTATGTACGATATATAAATTCAGAGTGTGACTCAGTCATGGACACAAATGACATGCTTTATTTTGAGAGATGGTCAAATTTAACATGCATGACACATTGTGAATGACAAAACACAAGTTATTTTGAGTTATTGGTGAGATGTGATATAAGAAAAACACAATCTAGATTTGTATTTGTTAAATCCTCGTGTACAGATTGTGCTTCCTCGGGATTATGTTTTGAAATAATAAAATATCACTTTGGTATTTTAAAAAAATCATACATAAATATTTACAAAGAATACAAATTGAATACTGTGTATGATTGACTTTTCTTGTAAATAATTGTCCAATAATGATATACATTTTTCTCTCGCATAAACATTTTGAAACTTAATTGTAGCGTTCAATAATAATTTAGATGGAAAAATTTAAGAGAATAATTTATTTTTATTGTGAATTTAAAATATTTTGTATTGAAATATTTTATTTGAATATAAAATTTAAAAATAAATTAAAATAATGTATACATATTTTTCTCTTTTGTTTCACCTTTATTATATCAATTTTCACTCATTTATCTTCTCTTTCTCCTATCTTTGTCACTTTATCTCTTATTTCTTTTTTCCTCTCTTTTTATGTCTCTCATATTTTTTTTATTAAATTGATTTATATGAAAAAACATTTGTCATGAATAATAATTATTATATTTAGAGGGTATTTGATAGGGGAATTTTTTTTTTCATACCCATGAATCAATCATGATTCTTGATAATAGTTAAATTAGGTCTAGTTACTCAATTTTTTTTTTGAAAATATCCATACAGGATTTTCAGAAATTAAAGATTTTCATAGGGTATATAAATATCTTTTTATAAATATATTCTTTATTAAAATAAATTCATTAGATATATTTATTTCTCAACTTTTATTGCAAATATGACATTAAACTATTTTTAAAAGTTGAAATTTTATTAAAATTATTTAAATATAGAATTCAACAAAAAATAAAAAAATAAAAAAATAATTATAATTAAAAAAAATATTATTTTATTTCATTCAAATAAAAATTAAAATAAATAAGTGTTAACAAGTACTATTAAAATATAAAAACAAAATAGACTTTAATGATATTATTAAAATTGACGAGTTTAATAAATAATGAAATACAAAAAAAAATAGAGAAAAAAATATATGGGAGGGAGAGGGAGGGAGGGGGGGGGGGGGGGGGGGGAGAGTAAGAAAGAAAAGGAGAAAAAAATAGAAAGAGAAAGAACGAGGGAGACAAAGAGTGGGGGAGTGAGTAAGAAAGATCAAGAAAGAGGGAGAAAAAAAATAAGAAAGAGAAAGGGATATTTTTTATTTCAAAAAGAGATATCGTAATTTTTTTATATACATAAAATTTTCACTTTAATTCAATATTTTTTTTTTTTGGAAAAGTAGGATAAAAAAATTTCTCGTGAAACTAAAAATCTATTTTTAAAATAGCTATTAAATATGAAAAATTAAAATTTTCGATTTAAGTTTTCTAAAAATGTAAAAACATTCAATGTATCAAACGTTTCCTTTAATTTAATTTAGAAAAATTTTATATGCTATCACTATCATTAATAGTCAAAGATTAATTTATTTGAAATGAAATTTATTGAAATAAATATTTTATCTCTCAACAAAATTTTCTCTCTCTTCCTATAACTCATCATATTTACTATTAAGATTATTATTATTTTTTTCTCTCTTCCTATAACTCATCATATTTAATATTAAGATTATTATTATAAGAGGAGATGATCATGGAACATAAATTTATAATTTCATTCGAAAATATTATTTAAATTGTTAAGTTTTTGTAATTCCCTTTGATGAAAATATTTTTAGGAATTATCTAGTTTAATTTTTTTATTAATTATATATTTTTATGACTTAAATCAGCATATATATATATATATATATATATTAAACATGAAAGATTATTTTTATGTAAAATTGTCATAGAGATTATTTATCGATGAGAGTATTTGTTTTAGAAATTTTTTCTATTTTTTTATCTAGTTTAATTTTTATCATATTTATTAATGGATTAAATTTTAATATTTTTAAAATAAATTAACAATAATTAAAAATATATTTATGTTGCAATATTAATTATTTATCTTATGTTTAAAATATAATTAATATTTTAAAATATTTTTTTATACAAATTTAAATATAATTTATATTTTTAAGTATCATATGTATAATTTAGGATAAGTTTTAGTTATATATGATTTATATAATAAAATAACAGTTTATATATTAAAATAGAGGAAGAAAAATAGAATAAAAAAAATGCAAAAATATCTATATTTTTTTATTTACACTATTTCTCAACCTATAGTCGAAAGTTAATTCAGTTTAAGGCGTAAGATAAGGTAAATTTTACCTCTTCAAACAAAATCTATAACATTGAACACTTTATACACTAAATGAAGAACACAATTTTCTACCAACTAACCATGTTGGTAAACTAGAGATATTATTAATCTTTGGAAGTATAAAAAATAAAAAAAAAATTAGAGTAGAATAATGTGGAATTTGTAGTTTAGTAGAATGAAATTAAGTGAGAATAAAGATGCAGATTCTCTGGAGCTTGCCTTCACGCACAGATCTTCTCCTTCAGAAGAGAAATGCTCTGTTATAGCAAAAATCACCTTTTCAATACAAACGAAATAACAAAGACTAATTTTGTAAATGCAAATGAACTCAAATAACAATTTGATGCAAATGACCCCTTTCTAGAGAGTATTTGTTTTCACCGTGGAACCCACAACTATTCCACTTAAATCAATTTAAAATCATCTTTACCAAACAAAAGAACCTTTTTTAAATCCATACAAATCCATGATAAATCATGCCCTCCACATAGAGCATGTTAACTTCCACCGAAAAGGTAAAACACTAATATTTAATCAAACGATTGAGAAATTCACTTAACTCCTAATCCATTACCTTAAAGATTTAATTTTTCAAAAGTCAATGAAGTAATCTTGTTCCGAGAATATCAACAATTAATATTTAAATACATTCATAATATTTTTTTTTATACATGTACACATAATTTTGATTTTTAATTTTTAAATTTGACTCTTTTAAAGTGAAAAAGTATGATTTAAAAAATAAAAGTGAACTCATAATTATTTTGATTGTAAAATCAACAATTAAGCTTTTGATAAAAACAAATACTTGTAATAAAATTTAAAATTAATTATAATATAACTACTAATTTTTTAATAAATAATTATTATTACATTTTATTTTCTAAAGTGCAATTCCTTAGAAACTAGATCCTTAATTTTGTCATAGACGAGTGAAATTATTTATTTTATCATCTAAAATGAATCGCTCATTTAAATGTTTTACATGGCTCTATACCCCATAAAAAGCTCAAGCAATATCTAATTCAAAGGTTGATTTCTTGATCAACTTCACTCATAACTATAGAACACTTCATAGTACTCTCTCTAAGTCTCTTTCTCTATTTCATTTTCACGAAAAAAGGAGCAAAAATCCAGCATATAATAAACTCGTTGAGAATTTTATCCAATACAATGATTTTACATGTTTCTAGGTGTTAGTGCAGATCAAAACCAAGGTCAGAAGCAGGGGTGATATCACGTAGATGGCTCAATTCCACATGATTCTCCGCTATCATAACTATGTAAATAAATAATTTCTATGAGGAACTACAAATAAAGGGAAGCTGCAAATACAATGTCCCTTTTGATTTTGGACACGGCTTCTTCAAACTTTGCCTCAAGTTGAGTTTCCCCAATTGACTTTGCTGCTTCTATTAATTGTTGAAGAACTTCCTCAAGTCGTCTAATTGCTCTGATCAAGCTACCTTCAAAGACTTGTGTGATTTCCATGATCTCATAGAACTTTGAACCT